ATGTTTTAGGTATAAGCGACGTACAGTGGCCAGGTTCAGGCAAACAAATTACAAATAATGGAACCATGTATTATTCAGGTAACAACGAGGTCAATCATCGCTATGGTGTTGCTATCTTAGTTGCAAAAAAGGTCAATTACTCTGTGGTAAGTTTTACTCCTTATTCTGATAGGATCTTATCAATACAACTACAGTCTAAAAAAGGTATAGTAAATTTTATTCAAGTTTATGCTCCTACGGCAGATAAAGATGACGATGATATCGAACTGTTTTACCATGATTTGGAACAAGTCTTAAAATTAATGAAGAAACATCACACTACAATAGTAATGGGCGACTTCAATGCCAAAGTTGGCCAGGGAAGAGTGGATGGATATGTGGGGGAATATGGTCTAGGAAATAGAAATGAACGTGGTGACCGTTTGATACAATTTTGCCAGACGGAAGAATTTGTAATAGCTAATACACTTTATAAGCTACCAAAAAGAAGATTGTATACATGGAAATCTCCCGGTGATACAACGAATAGAATAATCCGAAATCAAATTGACTTTGTCCTTATTAGACAAAGATTTCGTAATTCTATACTGTCTGCCAAAACTTACCCTGGAGCAGACATCGGTTCAAACCATAACCCCATAGTAGTCACATTACGAACCAAATTAAAACTGGTTAAAAAACCTTCACAAAGTAGAATTGATATTAAGAGATTAAGGGAACCACAAACAAAGGAACAAACTGTAAAAACTCTTACTGAAAATCTACGTAATGCCCAAGAACTGAATAAAAGTAGCTATAACATTGATCAGAAATGGGAAAATATAAAAGTAGCAATAATTAAAACAGCAAATGAAAACTTAAAACCAAAGAATAGAAAACATAAAGATTGGATGACTGAAGAAATACTACTATTAATGAATGAAAGAAAATCATTTAAAACAAAAAATTCAATTAAATATAATGAAACTGATCGATTAATAAAAAAGAGAATAAAAGAAGCTAAAGAGAGAATGTTACATGAGCAGTGCCAAGAACTAGAAGAAATTGAGAAAAAATATGAATTTTTTAACATGCATAAAAGAATTAGAGAATTAACAGGAATGAGAAAAACACTTCAAACTAGGCAACTAAGAGATGGAAGGGGTGCACTTACAACAGATATAAACCAAAAAATGCAGAGATGGACACAATATATAGCACAACTTTTTGAAGACAAAGAGAGAACAGAAGCACCAAAAGAATTTAAGGATGATACTGGGCCTGACATTATACGAGAAGAAATTGAATATGCAATGAAACAAGTTAAAGGTGGTAAATCTCCCGGGCCTGATGAAGTTCCTATCGAATTACTTAAAATTGTGAATACTGAATCTATTGATCTTCTTTTGGATCTATTCAATACCATATATAGAACAGGTATAATACCTAAAGAATGGCTCCAATCAACATTCATACTGCTTCCCAAAAAAGCCAATGCAAAGGAGTGCAATGAACATCGCACCATAGCCTTAATGAGTCATGTCTTGAAATTGTTTTTAAAAGTAATTCACATTAGAATACATAAGAAATTAGATGAAGGCATAAGTAATACACAAATGGGATTTAGGAAAGGACTGGGAACACGAGATGCACTGTTTGCATTAAGTGTTCTTTCGCAGAGATGCTTAGATATTAATCAGGAAGTATATGCCTGTTTCATTGATTTTGAGAAGGCATTTGACAGAGTGCAGCATAATCGACTTAAAGAAATTTTATTAAATAAAAACATAGACAGTAGAGACATTAGAATCATCTGTAACCTCTATTGGAATCAAACAGCAAAAGTGAAGGTTGAAAACGAACTCACCAAGGATATCCAGATTCGCCGTGGGGTCCGCCAAGGGTGTATTTTATCACCCTTGTTATTCAATTTATACAGTGAAGCCATCTCAGAATTAGCGCTTGCCGAGATCAGTGAGGGCCTTATAATAAACGGTGAGCCACTTAATAACATAAGATACGCTGACGACACCGTCCTTCTGGCAGGAACACTAGAAGAACTGCAACACCTTGCTGAACAACTAAATATATATTGCAACGATTATGGACTAAAAATCAATTTGAAGAAAACCAAGTTCATGGTATTTACAAAAGCACAAAACATCAAAGTTAAGCTAGTACAGATAATACAGAAATTAAACAAATATCTTCGTACAAATACCTTGGAGCATGGATCACAGAAGATACTGATCAGACAAAAGAAATAAGATGCCGCATTGAAATTGCGCGGTCAACTTTTAATAGAATGAGAAAACTTTTTTGTAATCGCGATATCAATATATCGCTCCAGATAAAAATGCTTCGATGTTATATTTTCTCTACCCTTTTGTATGGAGTTGAAGCTTGGACACTTAAAAAATCCAACATTACAAACCTAGAAGCATTCGAAATGTGGTGTTACTGACGTATTTTGAAAATATCATTGATGGATCGCAAAACGAACGAACAAGTTCTCGAACAGCTAGGAAAACAATGCGAAGTTTTAAATTCCATAAAAATCAGGAAATTGGAATACTTGAGGCACATAATGAGAGGTGAAAAGTACGAACTACTAAGGAATATAATGCAGGGTAAAATCAAAGGTAGAAGAAGCGTAGGAAGACGTAAAATCTCGTGGCTACGCAATCTCCGTGAATGGTTTGGATGCAGTTCAATTAAACTATTCAGGCGAGTAACCAATAAAATTATAATTGCCAGAATGATTTCCAATCTCCGATAGGAGTGGAACTTGAAGAAGAAGAAGTATAACCAGAGTTCGAAAGCCTCGATTCTTTTTAAATCTCGTTTTTTTAATGTTCAAGTCTCAGCCCCATATAATAATATTTAAAATATATAACAGCGAATGGTACGTAGTCTGATCTCCAAATTTAGATTTTTGCACGTTAGGAGTGGCTTCATTCGTATAAATGCTGATCTATTAATCTCCATTTGCCTGTTTATTTCTGCAGTATGATCATTGGTTTCATTGATGAAAGTTGTCAAGTACTGATATTTTTCTACTTTTTCTATCCCGTTACCATTAATTGTCAACAGGTGATGTATATTTTTTGTCTTTTTGGTAATTAGCATGTACTTCGTTTTTTTAGCGTTTATAGTAATTCCCATCTCAGCACTATTCATACTTAAGCTTTCGATAAGATGTTGTAGATCTTCTATATTCGTTGCTATAATCACAGTGTCATCTGCATATCGTAAGTTTTTAATTAATTTTCTGTTAACGGTAACTCCCGCTTTGATATTATTGAGCGTGTTTTGGAAAATTTCTTTAGAATATAAATTAAACAAAAGTGACGATAACAGATCTTCATTTCTTCTGAGTGTTGCCCATCAATTTGACCTATGGCTCTTTGGTTCCAATATAATGTTTGCACTATATGATTTTGCTCTCAATCCGCTTGTTTATAATATGTTGATGGAAAACAGCCCTTCTCGAGTACCTATTCCATTTCGGAACCCGAACTGCATCTCGCTAATATCCTCCTCTAGCCTTTCGTATATTCTCTTATGTATTACTTTCAGCAGTACTTTTAAAGTATGACTCTTAAGGTTTAGTATTCGATAATCAGAGCACCCTTTTGCTGCTTGTTTTTTAAGGATGGTTATAAATGCTGACTTCAGCCACTCTTGTGGTATTATTCCCGTATCGTATACCATTTTGAATAAATCTGCCAATACTTCCAAGTTATCCTCTTTCACTAGTTTTAACAGTTCTACTGGTATTTCATCTAATCCAGCTGCCTTATTGTCTTTCGAGTTTTTAATAGCATATTTGATTTCATCTGTCGTGATCTTCTGTCTATCTAAAGAATTTAATTGTTGTATTTTCTGCATTTCACTTATTTCATCTTGGAAAAGTTCTCTAACGTACTCCTCTCATCGTCTTAATTTCTATAGTAAACCTATTAGTAGTACTCCTTTTTTGTCTTTTATGCCTTGCTGTCAATTTCGACCCATTCTAGTTACTTCTCTTATTTTTTTGTACATGTTCCTTATACCATATTTTGTTTCTAGTTCTTCTATCTCTTTACATTGTTCCATCAAATAGATTTCCTTAGCTGTTTTGATTTTTTCCTTAATTATTCGTTGTATTTCTTTATACTTTTTTAGATCTTTTCCTTTATATTTCCTTCTTTCTTCCATCTGTAATAGTATTTCTTCTCTCATCCACTGTTTTTTATCCTCTGACCTATGTTGTATCAAACTTTCTTGAGCTAGTTTCAGTAATGTGTTTTTTATAATTTACATCCATAATTTGTTTGTTGCCAGTTTGTGTTTTTTGCATATTAACATTCACATTGTGTTTTAATTCGTGTTTTATTTCTTCGTTTTTCAGCATTCTTACATTAATTTTTATTTTTTGTCTTCTAAGTTAAATTCTTTTTAATTCTATTTTCACGTCAGCAACTAACCGATTATGGTCTCAGTTAACATCTGCTCCAGGATAAGTTTTAACTAAGGTTATAGAGTTTTTATATCTGCTATTTACGAGTATAAAGTCTATCTGGTTTCTGACAATGTGATTTTCTGTATGTGAAGGTGAAACCAAGTATTGGCAATTACCATATTCCTTTTTTGGCAGAATTCTAGAAAGCTATCTAGAAACTTCTAAATATAGTCCAAAGAAAGTATTGGATTTGTATATGTGATTATTTTTTTTTACTTTTAATTTCCAGCCGCAACTTCTTAATAAATAATTTTAAGACTATTCGGTTGTCTATAACCGTCTATAATTTTAAGACGGTTGACGATTGTATTCTTAACTTAATAAATGATTGAAATATAGAGGAAGCAGTATATTAAAATTCTATGAAATTGTTTTGGTAATAATGTACTTATTTTTACTATAAATTATATATTTTAATGAATATGTTGTGTTAAGACAGTTTAAAAATATGTAATAGTAGATGATAATTGTGAAATATGTACCAAATACAATACTAACTCATTTTTTATTTTTGCAGCCCTATTTTGGCGATCACTCAATACAGCACCGAAGAATATATCGACGGTTCACTAGTTTTCGTATGTTTTAGCTTGGTAGAAGACTTATTTCCTTGTATATTCTTCATAGGTTCCGTTGTCGTCTTCTTCGTCTTCCCTTTGGGCATATTAATTTGTGTATACGCCCTCATAGCCACATCGTTGATGTCACAACCTTTGGCGATGATAGCATCCAGAAATTTGACATCTCCAGCCCAAAACGTCATTAAATACAGAAAGCAAGTGATTTTGATGCTTGGTACTGTAGTTTTGGCATTTTTTATTTGTTTGTTGCCGTTTAGAGCTCTTACTTTGTGGATAATCATCGCTCCGGCAGGTTCAAGTTTCGAACTAGGCTTCGAAAGATACTATAATATCCTGTATTTTTCCAGAATTATGTTCCATATTAACTCAGCGGTTAATCCGATATTGTACAATATCATGAGTTCTAAATTTCGTGGAGGTTTTTTTAAGTTATGCGGCGCCAAGAGTCTAAGGAAACGGTACCTGAAGAAACCAGAAATGACTAGGAAAAGTACAAGCTCTTCAACGCACACCTCCTCTCAGCAGACATCAGAAACTTTCCTCAAAAGTAGCAGGACCTATTCGAGGCAGTCCAGTAGTCTCAAAGAGGTTAAGGAAGAGGACGAAACGTCGAAAGTTCATGGGAGGAATTTGGTCAAAAACGTGTACGTGAGAGCTCCGATTGAGATCGTGGCTGGTATTAATGGAGAAAAACTACCTAGTGGGGAAATATACGTTTGACACCACAATTGAGCACTTACAGCTTGTAAAGTTTTTGGTTCATGTATCGATAAATTGTAACAAATGCTATTTATGTTAGTTGGGCAACTGCACTAAACCCGAAAGTCAATACTATTGTCATGTTATGGTTTTAAAACGTACAGTGCGGAGAAGACGAGTTCAGTTCAGTGCAGTGGTGGCGTGTAAATTTGTTTTATTCAGGGAAATTATTTTAGTGATTCGATGGCGAAAAGTACGCAATGTATGTTTTAGTTCTTTAGAATCTTTAATAGCAATATTTTCAATAGTGAAGATAATAGCTTGCCCTGTTTTTATTAACTTACATTTAACTATAGCTTTCAGTGATTAAAAGGAAGAATTTTCACAATATCATGTTTCTTATATAACTTTTAACGTCAGACTTCTTTGAACATAATGATGTAATAGAAGAATCGGCGAAATAAATTCAAATTTTTAAATTAAAATTCTAACGATATTCTATCTACACAAGAAGAAGTACTCATATACTTACCACTCAGGTACTTTCCGAATGTACTAATAAAAAATAAATAAATCATGAATATGTTGCCTGTATGAGTCCATTTCAAATTGGTAAAAAGAAATAAAATATAATAGAATAAGGTAGAATACAATTTATTATATATATATATATATATATATATATATATATATATATATATATAATTGTTTCAAATTTACACATTACAAACAGATATTTAATATTAACAATATAAGAAACGACAAGCACACTAAATAAAAATATAAAAACATGAAATATCGTCATAATGGGCAAATATCCTGAACAAACTGGTACTATTGTGTAAAAGCTGTACTTAGGTACTCCGTTTTTAAATAGAAACAATTTTTCAAAAAGTGTGATTTGATTTTAAGTTTTAACGATAAAGTAAAGACTTTTTACTTCATTTGACAAATAGTTATTTATTGTACAAGATGATAAAATTGTACTTTATCTTCGAGAGCATTTTTTAGCGTCGAGACGTCAGTCGAGACGATAATTATGCTCGAAAAGATAATGCGATTTTATCGTCGTGTGCAATACAACATTTTTTCTATAGCAAGACTTCAAGTTCAGGTGAAAAATAGAATTTCAAAGAAAATTGTAATTTTTAGCACAAAAATCGCAATTGTGTTGCTCAGTTGCTAGGTATATGAATTACTCTGTCAACAAATGTCAAACAAATGTTACAGAAAATCAGTCCAGTACCTCGAATCAAGTGTTTAAGCAAACGAGTACAAGTTGTGATGCTCCAAAAATAGATATTTCTAATAATGTTAGTTGTAAAATTTTAGTTGTTTTTAATCCTTAATGTGTTTAAATTTGTAAATTTTATTGAATAAAAAAAGTTAAAACGTTTTATCTAATCTTGCTGTTAAAGTGTCACTTTATCTACCCTTGCGGTTAAAGTGATACTTTATCTACTCAAAACAGTTGTTATAGCAACACTTTAACATTAGCTATGGAAAAAAAGTTATATAAACCAACATCAGTTGAATTTTTTATGCTCTCTGACTAACCTAAAACGTTGTGCTCTAATAGGATCTCTAGATCTTGTACTGTGATCATGGAAGTTCGAGTTTATCTTAAACTTACCTTTTTTGGCATGAATTTCAATCAGCGTCTCATATATAGAGTTAAGGTTGTGGCATAATACCTAAATCCAGAAATAAAGGTTTACAGTGTCCCCTATACTCTGCTCTTGCAACTATCCTCGCTACTTTTTTTTTGTAGTTTAAAAAATTTGATCTGCGTGACAAGAATTACGGCAAAAAATTATTCCGTACAGTTGATGGCTATGGCATAGTGCAACATAGCACATTCTAAGGGTAACTTTAGGAATCATATAAATCAAGTTGTTTATTAAAAATATATTTGTCATAAGTCTAGAACTTAAGTAATCACTCTTAACTTACACACTCCAATCCAAATTATCATCTTGAAAAATTCCTAATAGTTTAACACTATTTCTTGAAATATACCTCTAATCCGAACTAAAAAATAAATTCTGATTATTCTCTTTATTTAGCTTCAGCCCATTATGTAAAAACCAGTTTTTTGCTTTCTGGTTATCACTGTCTATTTTAATTTTTAAATTATGTTGATTAATATTAATATTAATGAGAGTTGTATTATCTGTGAAGCAAACACATTTTATATGAAAACTTTAGTGAAATAAATAATTCAGATAAATAAGAAACAAAGTGGGTCCTAATATCGAACCTTGAGGAACCCTATTCGACAGTGTTAATATCAGAATAGCTGTTATTAAGAAAAACTGCCTGTTTTCTATTTGTTAAGTGTGATCTAAATAAATTAAGAGTGTTTCCCCTAATAGCGTATTAATATATTTTTACAACAGTAATTCATGCGAAACACTGTCAAATGCTTTTGGGTAAGTCACACAATGTCAAAGACTCAAAATGAATTTCCTTCAAGCCATCGACTATATCTCTCACAATATTCTGAAGTGCTTCACTTTTTTCTAAAGCCATATTAATTAAAGTGAAGTATTTTGTGTTTTTCTAGATATTCTATTAAACGAAAATTTAGAATACTCTCAAAAATTTTGCCAAAAATGGGAATGATTGAGATGGGACGATAATTTTCAATTTCATCTAGCTCTTTTTTTGAACACTGGTAGCACTTTTGTTACTTTTAATACATCTGGGGAAATCTCTTCAGTAAGACCATTATTATAAAGTTTTTGTCAATAATTATATCGATTGTTTCCACAATTATTTTTTAATATTGTTCTGAAGCTATTTTCTTGTGGCATTTTAAATGAATTACTATTTAACTGGGAATAAGCCACAATTAAAAGTTAAAATACGTTTATTGACGTTTCAATTTCCACTTCGGAAATCGTTCTCAAAATACAAACAGTAAATTAAACAAATTTTGCTTTTTGTTACTTAGTGAAAAATTCTTCTAATTTGTGCAGTGTGAATTTTTCAATATACGCAAAACATTCCTGATTTCGGTATTACTAACACTATTAGGTAATTAAAATAAAGAGTCGCAAGGTACATCTTTCAAAAAATCTATTGCTTCATTTTCATTTGTGAAATTTAAAGAACTTCTATGTTTAGCAACTAAAGTAAAGTAATTGTTGAAATCGTTAGATGTAATCGCGCTTGGACAGACTTTTTTATATTGAAATTTACTTCTGTGATAATTTATAATTTTCCATCTGTTACGAGGTATATTTTCTGAATTGGAAATTAAATTCTCATAAGCCAGTTTTTTCTTTACTAATATTGTTAATTTATAGTGGTTCTTAAACTTTTTATACTCACTATATTCCTTTGTAACATCAGCAATTATCTTGACTGTTGAAAGATTTTCTCGCATAACTATCAGTACATCACCAAACCAAGAAATTGGAGCTTCACTATGAGTTCGTGATTTATTTATTGGAAAATAAATTTCAGTAAACTTTACATACATTTCGATACTGGCATTGGGCATTGAGCTAATTCTGTTGCTATTTTGAGAGAAACAACTGAAGCCCAGTCAACGTTATTTAACAACTGTTTTAACCTCAGGATGCCAATATTTATTTTGTCTGCTGTGTTTATTAGCACTATGACTTTTTCAGATTTTGTAGAGAGATGTACTGTGGCCTTATCATGTGGCAAATATTGTAAGCCTTGAAGCCAGTAGCCAAAAATTTAACAATAAAAAAAATATTTTTTTATGAATAATTACTCATCTCCTATACATTAGTATTATGGACTCATATTGGCAACCTTTTCATCATTTAAAAAATAAATACACTATACCTTTATTTGTTATTAGTTACCTAAAATACACTGCTTTACATTTACTGATATCTTCTCCTAGAGTAATAATAGGCTCTATAAGAACTTCAACACACGTTCTACATCATATATGTTATCTTCTCCTTTGAGATGTGGTGTTTTTGTACTACCTCTTGATGATGATTATCTTTTGAATGTTTATATTGTGATTTAAATGATACTCTTAGTGTATGTTAAGATAAATTCACTTTGTGTAGACTTTGGTTACATATCCTCTATTCTCCTTTCTGATTAACACATCCAGAAATGGTAGTGAGGTTTTCTTATTCGTAGTTAATTTGGTCAATTGTTCTTTGCATATTATTATCTATCACAAATTTATATATTTTTTAGTCCCTGGTGCCATATGAAGAATATATCTCAAAACTTCCATCATACTGGGCTTTTTAGTCATGTTTGTGCACAATATTTTGCTCAAGTTCTTCCATAATATCAAAAAAATCAGAATATATAGACAGTTTGGTGCAAGACGAGCTTATGCTGCTACAAATTGGTCTGAGTAGTACGTTAGCTTTGTGTATTGATTGGACTCCGTATAAGTGTGGTGTCCTACTGTAATGGGTATTAATGTTCTTTGGTATAGTCCATTTCCATCATATTGATAACACATTATGTATGCAAATACCTAAACTGTTGATACGGGTGACTCAATGAAAAATAGATACTTGTCAACAAGTTTACAGAAGTATGTAGAAAACAATTTTAAATTGAGTATAACCACCAGGTATAAAGGTTGAAGCAGAATAGAATACAATAGTTTTGAGGGTTACTAATCCCTAAATAAAGTTGCCAGTGTCAGAGTGATGGAGATTAACAGGTACTAATGAATTTGCAAGAAATGTAAGATGTTTATTTTATTGGTTATATATAAAATAATTTGTGGCCGTAACAGGGGCCGATTTGTAAAAAAATGAATGTTATTTTAATCAAATTTTATTTCAGATTCACTGTTTTCTTCAGAATCTAAGGAATCTTCAACTCCAATGTTAATTATTACCGGTTCCAGCATTGCATCAGTCACATTATCCAAATTCCACATTTTATTTTCTTCCTTGTGAGCATGACTAACAGCATTTTTCCAATTTTCTAGAGTTACTTTTGATAAGGAATGTTCTAATAATTGTTGTAAGTCTTCTAATTTAAAAGTTTTGTTGTTGCGT